ACCAGCCCCCCGGACGGAGACAACAAAATCCTATATATGAACGGTTATTTGCCTGCGACTGGTGGGCAGCACTGTGATAAGTATGGCGAAGAATGGAGCACTGGACTATTATTTAGATTGGTTTCAAAACGATAAGCTGGCACCAGTTAAACGAAATTTAGCATAACACCAGAGTTTAAGTTATCTTATAAACGCCAAATATTACGGTTTAATGACTGCACTCAGTCCACGCTAAACTATCATTAAGTTACATGCGGAGTCTTAGTAACTGATCGTCTACATTTAACTTTGCAAATCAACTACTTTAATGCCAGTTAAGCTAGCCGCGTGCGGCCGTGTAACTTACCAGGACATAAAGAACTAGCTGACTTCTATCCCATATTTTGACTCATAATATAATTTTATCTCGAATTCAAATTTAAGTCAAACAAACCTACAGGCAGTTAACTTTCACATTTATAACACTCGTGCGAATTGCAGATTATACAATAAAAAATTTGCCGCTTTCATCGCGTCTGCTGTATGACGCGCGTTCATAATTCGTTCCGTTAAGATGGAAACCGCTCAACATTTTAAAACATCGCCAGTTGAATAATTACCCAATTGAAAAAACGTGCTTACGTGTGTAGCATTAATATTAATTTAGCAATAATTGTGTAGTTGTATTGCACAATAACGGTTTCGTTGTAACTGTTAAGTACCCGATGAAGTTTGGCATTTATAATGAGGTGAACTCATCCTAGCCTAATTAAAAAAAAAAACAGTTCGTAGTTGGTTGTGGTATTTGGTATCTATCGAGAGAATGTGATTCATTGCTGCCACCCAAAGACATCCAGAAAACTGATGAGGTTGCAGATGCCGTGCAAAGCTCTAATATATAGAATATTAGGTCGAATGATTCTAGGGATCCCATCAAAGGGGCATTTTACCACACGCATGGGAAAAGTGTTAATACTACTAGTACTAAGTAAAACTCGGTGAACACATGAAGTAGTTTAATTTTTTCTGTATTCGCGTAAGCGTAAACCGCGAAAAAGACCCAATTTAAGAATAATTCCCATAGTTTCGTCTGGTGAGTGAGGTAGCCGGAGCCCAATTTCCAAATAGATTGTCAACGATCTGCAAACCCTCGGGTGTAGCAGATGTCCATAGGCGGCGGTATACACTTAAAATTAGGTAAACCGTCTGCTCGTTTGGCAACTTTTCCCATAAAAAAAAGTTAAATATTCAATATCAATTACATTACACTTTTAAGAATTACTGGGTATTTAAAAGGAGCCACAATTCCTAGTCTGTTGGTCTACGCGACTCCCATGTTTCAAGAGATATGTGGTTTAAATATATTGAATAGTTGCACGAAGAAGACAGGGGACTTCGACTCGTTCTTCGAAGAATAGAGTCATATATTATTTTCATTGCTTATCTGCACTAAAGTTAAAGTTCATAGAATTTTCGACGCTGACAGGATTCGAACCGGCTTCTTCTGGGTAATGCCCCGGACATTTTAGCCAACTGGGCTGAGCGGCGAACATCTAAGAGCACAGTAACGGACTAACGTCATTGTAGAGTAAGACTCATCCACTCAATACATCATCCACTATTCATACTAACCTCCAACAGGTCGCTACGCTTCTCGCAAATCTCGAAAACGTCAACGCACTGACCTGCAACAACAAAAAAAATTGAACCTTAATATAATATTCAGATTCCGTATGTATATTATAATCATTATGATATTGTCCAGCGAAAAACTCGTAAAATCGTAATTCTTAAGGTCAAGTAAACTCAGCACTGGACGTCCGTTTTGTTGTTAAAGTTATACGCCATGAGATTTTGTACCGATTTGCCGCGATCAGTGAAACATTAAGTCTGTTGCTATATGAACGTATGTATTATGAATCAGAAATTTTTACATTTTCAATTACTTTTTAAATTTTGATAAATGAAAAAAAATATATATATTTCCTTTAATTGAACATATTCTCTCATATTATTTTCACTTAAAGTCAATCAGTTTATTTTTATTAGCGAAGGTACGTGCTATGTAAGTTTGAACTCTATCGATTTTCACTAAACAGCCATTCTGAACGCCAACAAACTGATAAAGCGAACACGGAATAAATATTAACTTTAAATCTAAGGAACAGTTTTGGTTGAGCACATTTTAGACGCCGGGAACTTTCTAGACGAACGATATCAATCACAGTCTCCAACGGTGGGACCTCACTGGTGGCGAGGGGAGGTCTGGCAGTCTAGACCGAGTCTAGACCCGGACCTGGGTCAACGTTCAGACAACAAAGGATGGAGGAAATGGATTTTCGTGTGTCGTTCACTTGCCTCGTTTCGAGGCGGGTAGAGTGCGCCGCAGACTTTGTTATGAATTTTTAAACTTTGTTTTAGGATAAGTAGCTAAGTAGATTACAGGTATTACTGATAAGCTCATATTACTAATGCGAGTATTAAAAATTAATTCACTGCGTTTGCGGAGGTTGGCCCTTATCTTTTGTAATTGTAAATATTAATTGGACGTGAGAATGTTTAAATAGCCAGCACTTTTCTTTTCAATCAGCAATAGTTTGATTACTGTCTAGTTTTAAAACTAATATTTTCTTTTATTTTCCTACATTTTCTACAAATTTAAGTAGACAAATTATGTCTTCTTATAAAAATCAAACAAAATCTACGTAAGTACATGCCAGTGAAACTGTCAAAAACAACCTTGATAGAGTTTTCTGGTGTAAGAGAATAGTAAGTAACAGTAACTATCCAATTTCGGCATCTTACTTTTAAACATTTTGTAAAGTGTCTCAAGTAAGGAGATCTCATTTCGATGGAAACGCCGCATTCGTCTCAGCTCAGAGTCGCAAAACGTCAAAAGCGGTGCAATGACATGCAATTAAAGCATACCTCATGAATGCAGCAATCTATGTCGCCCTGGTTAAGAGGAGGGTGCGTGCATAGTGCATCAGGCTGATGGCATGAAGAGGGAGCAATGCTCTCGCATACTCAATCTTAAACCCTACCAAATGGCGTGAACAGTTAACTAAAAACCGGCCAAGTGCGTGTCGGAATTGCGCAGGACGGGTTCCATACCATAATCTATGAAAACGCCAAAAATCATGTTTATTGTTAGGGAACTCCACTTAAATATTTTATTTCCTGTGTTTTAGTATTTGTTGTAATGGCGGCAACAGAGAAATACATCATCTGTGAAAATTTCAACTGTAACTATCGCGGTTCATAAGATACACACACCTGGTGACAGACAGACAGATATAAGACAGACAGCGGAGTCTTAGTAATAGAGGCCCGTTTTACCCTGTGGGTACGGAACCCTAAAAATGACCAATGGACAAGATAGCCCCTGACAAACTTGCCCTTATGGTGCGTCAATGTTACTGTTACATATAATGAGTTGGAGCGGTGAAAATGCGCAAGCACACGTCAGCCCTCGGGTCGTTCTTTTCGGTGAACGAAAGCTTTGTGCCGGGTCATGACCTTTGACCCGCGCCCCGACCTTGCGCTCATGTTGGCCTGGTAAACAAAATGTGCAGCGAACACTGGCGGAATGACGAAAAAATTCCAAAAAGCAGCGTTGAGAGTAGAATGGGAATATATCTTGGAACATACTGTAACATTATTTCTCTATTTTATCGAGATAAGGTTCACCACAAATTAAAACAGTTAATATTTGCTGTATAAAGATATAAAGACATAATGGTTCTAAGAATAGTTTAAAATATATTGTGTACAGACTATTCATAATAGTATGCTTTTCTCAACTCAAATACGGATGGATGCCATCTTAATAGTGCACTTTTCTTAAAAAAATTACACAAAGCACAAACAACGACAACTATAATAAGAGCTCAAATATGTATCTGTCAAAAGTATCTCTTCAAAAATATTTAACTAAGCAAATAAATAAACTTTCTTGTCAGAGAATTTGGTAATACGAAGCCTTGAGAAAATTTTATCCTCAAATTATCACTCCACTTGTTACGCCTCTGTATTAGAAATTTTCCACTACATAATAATAAACATCCCTATGCCGACATAGTAGTTACAGTACTAATAATTAAAGTACTACTTACATATATAAAACAGAAATCAATACCAATTATTCTAAATGCAATCTGGTCATTGTGAAACTGCAGCCGCTTTATCACGCGCGCCCTAGGCCCCCCGGCTAGGCCAGCTAGACTGACCTACTTGCACGATGACCCATTTCGAGACTCCGGGGAAACAAGCGAAAAACCGATCATTAAACGTTTCCATCCGTAGATGCCAGTTTCATTTATCCCCATGGCAGCTGAAACGACTAGGTATCCCGTAATTTGACGGGGCGACACAGTTAAAATCAGCGAGAGAAAACAGGAATACAGCAACAGTGAAATGCATATGCACAAATATCATCATCAACGTCGTCTCGACGAGGAGCGTAGCTAAACAAAAGCCGCGCTACATGTGGAAGCGAACTAAGTCCTCCACTCAAAGGGACTGACGGGATTTTTCAAGCATCCCCCCGTGAACGGGCACCTTAAACAACCCTTGAAACAATGACTTTACAGGGCCTTAGTCAAAGTAGTATTAGACGAGGCGAACACAAACTTAAAGGTTTACTTACGTGGGCTAAAGAGGCAGAACATGTTGATTAAACGCTTAATTGTATCACAATAACAGTCCACAACTTTGATTATATTCGGATGGAATTATGAATTGACTTATATCGTAGAAATATATAAACAAATCGCTGAATCTAAATAGTGGCGGAACTTTAACACATAAGATTTAACTACAGGCATAAGGTTAAACGATAACTGCATCTTTGAAAACTGAGAAATGGAGAAACATCAACTTTAAGTTTAATAATTTTCACTCAAACAAACAATTACGGATAAATAGACAAAAGTGAAAATAATAACATGAATTGAACGCAGTAATATCATATCACAACACAAATAACACGATTTTTCGTTAAAAGCGCGCTTGCAAAGCGCATGTTTGCAAACGCGTCCACCCTGCGCGGCGTCCCACAATGGTCTGAAGTCAAGCTCAGCAGACAATCAGCTGTTGAGTGTCTCGAACTACCTACAGCTACCGGTTGCACCCGTCTAGACGTGGGGGTGGGGGCGACGTTAGTATCGGATGCAACGGTGCTGTGATTGGTGTTATGCATCTCGTCAGCGCTGCAGGGTCGAAGAACTCGCGGTTAGAATTTTCAACCCAAACCGTATAGGAATAGTAACACCGAATATGCGACGCACAGTTTGAATTGGACGGTTTAGGATAAAGCAAGGATAGCTTCGTGGGGCTGTGAAAATTGAAAATTCCCTCGAGTCGATTCATTGAGCCTGAAATTTTGCACTAAGCACTATGGTAGAATATTTGAGATTCATCCATCGAGGCTTATTTAACCCCATTAAGGGATAAAAAAATTAATGACTTTGCTTGACTCTTATTGTACAGGTTTCGGTTTATAACGCGCAAAGTTCGTGAGCGGTGAACTTACTATCACTTTCACAAATGTATTATATATATTAAGCAACTAATTTCTGTGTATTTTTTTTGTTTCGACCATTGGAGTTGTTCATCGCAAGAGTTGGAAATTCGACCGTAATTTACGTGACGATAAACTTGAAAATAACCCTGTAAACTGAAAAGATATGCACTCAGCTCGTATTGGCGTGCCGTGCACTCGAGGCTGTTTTGGGTTCTGTCGCTTAGACGAAAGCGGTCAATTGACCCAGTTCCCCCGATTCGTTTTCGTGCATTCCGCACTAAACGGCTCCACGAGAGTGGCGAAGCGTGATCCGGATGAATGGAGAGCTTTTTGCACCGAGTGCCGTGGCAACCTTCGGCGACTTCGCGATCAAAATATGAACAAACTCTATGTATTCAAAGTTGTACTTCTTTTGGCGTGTTTGGAAAATATTATGAGAGCAATATTTTCGCGATTAGCGCAAACACCGACCTTCAAAAAGCGACACGATGATGTCGCTTGGAATGCGAACAAGTTCATCTTGCTGAGTTGCCATGGTAATTATCGAGTATTGCCTCTCAGACACGGTGACATTTGCACTTAAGAAGTTTGCGATTATAGAATCCACCATAGTTATGTCAACTGCTGATGACTTAAGTATATAACGATACAGCTGTGATTAATAAACCATTACAGCTGGCAGTTGTACGAAGATTTCTCCGTACAACTATTGTAAAATTAAATGTTTATTAATCTTAAAATACATGATACATACTTGCACGAATAGAGACCAGTCGACTAGTTGAAACTAAGCTCTTTCAGGTTACAACTTCGGTCTAAATACCTGTGTTTTTATCAGCTTTGGTGCATGTATATGTATGCATACATATTATTATTTTTCTTTTAAGTATATTGTAAAGCTCGGCTCAAGGCATCATAAGAAACATCTTATTCTAAAAAAACACATTTCTTCGTGCATACTCTGTTGGCACAATATTTAAAACGATAGAGTAGTGATCTACAGTCGAAGATACGAAAGTCAGTTCCACCACTTTTTAAATTCCTTTAAGATCGGCGCAAACGTATCACCATATGAGCTAAGCGGGGATGAAGTGAGCTGTTCTATATATCCCGTTAGGATAATAAGACTGGAGAGCTTAAACACATGGCATTTAATGTAATCTAATTAAAAATAATGCGATCATGTGCTGTATCGTTGAAGAACATATACATATAAACTAGCTGACCCGGCAAATGTTGTTTTGACATATAAATTATTTGTAGGGTAGAAGAAAAAGTTTGAGGTGCACCACCCTTAACAATTAGGGGGATGAAAAATAGAATTTCTTTTCGATTCATTCCAACCCTGGCCGCTTTGTGACCTTTACAAAAAATTTCACGTTAAATCGGTCGAGCCGTTTCGGAGGACTTCAATTACAAACACCGTGACACGAGAATTGTATGAACGCATATATTCCCTCCTAGGAAGCGACTCAGACAGTGTGTGGAGGATTAACGGACTCTAAAATATATTCGGAATATTTTCAATATAAAAAAATAATCAAACAATTGTATTTATTCGGCGAAATATATTAGACGTAAAAGCAGGCATTAAGGAAACAGTAATTTAACTTCAATAAAGCCTGAAGATCTGAAAAAATTGTGCACGCACACAAGTGCGTCGCGTTTGCGTACGTATAAACGGTCGAGCCGTTGCCACACACACACACATGCGCATCACGTACACACACAAAGCGATCGCGGACGATGTCTTATACCGGACGGGAAATCCGCCAGTGGTCGAAATCAATCAGGCGATGACGCAACCGATGACTCAAAACGCGTAATATAGGGACAATATTTCAAAACGCGATTAAATTACCCAAGGAAGAATTGAATTAACACGGGTTAGACAAAGTGTTCCGAAGCGGCAGGGGGTGGTTCATACAAAATGTATGTAAGATAGGGAGAAATAATACATAAATTAATAAGCACTCAGTGAACACAACTTCTAGTTTCAATTTGTGAACACTATTAAAATACAACTCGAAAGTTTGTATGTATGTTGTTAGTATGTTTGTTTGTATGTGTTACTCTTTTTTCTCGTTTTACAATAATAAAGCTTATACATCAGAATAACACATAGGCTATAATTTATAAACATATTTTTATGTATACATATCTGTCTTTTTGTCTGAATGTTACGCCTTCAGCTTATTCTACGCAGACGTAGTCGCGAGCAGCAGCTAGTATTTTAATTATATTAAAAATGTGAATGTAAGTTTGTTTGTTACGCTTTCACGCCACAACTATTCAACCGATTATCATGAAACTTTGTAAACATATTATAGGATTCTTTATATTATAAAAAAGAAGATATTTTAAAAGAAGATAAGGGCTTCAACGCGAGCGAAGCCGCGGGCGGAAAGCTAGTATAATACATGAATATATAACAATAATATAGTGTCTTCTCATATTCACTCACAGTTGATGAAGCGGGATGGAAGATATTGTCGGTGCCTTTTGATTTTGCCTTATTTATCGTGCACTGCTTAATATCACATGAGACGCCAACCTATTCTTCTCATCTTCTGTTCCACAAATGGACTAAAATTATGTATTAAATTTAGGTACATCGATTTTGTACATACGGCGTTTTAACAGAAGTTGATACTCCTGTGAATTGATGATTAGATACTTTATGCACATTTAGAAATGATTTTAGTATAAAGAGTTGGCGGACAAAGTTTTTTTTTTTTTTTTTTTTTAAATGGAGAAAAGGGGCAAACGAGCAGGAGGCTCACCTGATGGTAAGTGATTACCGCCGCCCATGAACACCTGCAACACCCGAGGGCTCACAAATGCGATGCCGGCCTTTTAAGAAAGGGTACGCTCTCTTTTTGAAGGTTCCCAGGTCGTAACGGTTCGGAAAGACCGCCGGCGGCAGTTGGTTCCACAGAGTGGTTGTGCGAGGCAAGAAATGCCTTAAAAATCGCGCTGTTGTGGAACGTTGGACATCGAGGTGGTGTGGATGAAATTTTACATTTACAGTCACACAGGCAGTTTAGTGAACCGGTGGTAGTTTTTGGCGTTCAATAAGAGCTTAAAATAAGCCTATGTTGAATAAAGAAATTTTGACTTTGACTTGACAACTGTAACTGAAGTTAACAAGTCGGACTCGCTGGCGCTGTCGTCTGAATAATCGTTTAAACCAAGGATGAGCAACGCGCGGCCTGTTAAACATGTTTATGCGGCCCGCCAAGTATTTCTAAAATTGAATTTATTTTAACGAATTTCTCCCATCAATATACTGTTATAAAATTAATTATAATAAAATGGTAGTACATACTGAACCTAATGAATATTTTTTGTTCTTTTCTTGTTTGTTTTTACCTTGTATTAAAATTTGTATATGAAACCTTAACTTTTTTTATTTATATATTTTATTATTCTAATATTTATTATAAGTAAAGTTTCGTAAATTATTATGTGCGGCCCGCCAAAAAAAATTTTAAACTTAAATTGGCCCATTGATTAAAAAGGTGTCTCAACCCTCGTTTAAACCATGAACTATCTGCGTCTACTCCGTTAAGAGTAAGCTATTGATAACCCACGTCCCACAGTGTGATGAGACACCAACCATCTCTGCCGGACCCCTACGGAATTGAAGCCGTGATCGTGCGCGCATGGAAACACCCCCCCCCCCCCCCCCCCCCCCCCCCCACCGTTTCAATTGCGGACCACTCCTGCCGGTCAATGACCGCGGACGGAAAGAAACGTGATCCGATCGGGAAGTGCTTTGTTTGTAAATACGCCGCTTTCGCGAAATCCGAAAATAACGAACGCGTTTCTTCACTTCTGCAACCCAATTAGCCGAACCGCGCCTGCCGCGTACGGACGTAAAAGCTTGTTTGTCGATGGCAATTGGTACAGTCCACTTTAACGACCGGTTAGTCACACCGTTAAATTCATTCATGTGTCAAGTGAAGTTTCATTAGCAAGGCTTTAAGACTGATATTCGCAAATAAGCCCTAATAGACATCTCTGGGTATTAACCTCCAGTAACAACAAACGCATCTTTCCCACTCGGTGCTCTTTGTAATGATTTAATTTCGAATGGTTTTCCTTTACGTTTATCCAACGTATAATCCGGGCGCCATTTTGTAGTGTGAGGTAAAATTGAGCGCACAAGAACTTGTCACTCTTAAAATACTAATGCACACACAAAATATGTGTGCGTCACTTCTCGTCCACTCCGGAATTAAAACCCAGAATCCCAGTCACCGGACACAACTAAGCCACATGTCTATTTCAACTCAGTGCAATTACCATTAACTACTAACGTCCGGTTTCTGAAATCCTTATGATCGCTGATCAATTCAGAGAGTTTAACAATTCTTTTGGCAGCTCAAATGACATTTGAAAATCCATTTGACAGCTGATTCAGTGTTTCAGAAGGCGTAAGTGTGTGATTTATTTTAATTATCTTCCTAATTAAGACCTTTGTTGTTTTGTATTTTATACATGTAATATTAAAAGTTCATCTGTTAGTTATCTTCTGAGCGACGACCGATTGAGGTTATTTTCTCGCAATTTATTTGTTTTTACGCGCTTATTTACAGCGCCACCTATCGGAAGGGTCAGAGAAATATCGGCTAGGCCACTAGCCGATATTTCTCTGAGCACTATAACAGCCGTTTTAACATTTTATATGTTACAATTACATGATAATGAGGTTCACGTGATGTTATGTCAATGACGCCGCCTGCATCTACAACATCTGTGGCGCTATGTGATGCCAACCTTTAAAGGATCAGGGCCCTGATTACCTTACTTCCAAGACCAGTGTTCTAAAGCACATGCGTTTCAACATTTTCAGTTACAAAAAACCAGATAGTTTACCAAGCAGATTTAAAATTTCATACGTCAATCCACGATTAGATTGTTTATATTTTTTTATGCGAGAAAGTGACAAACGAGCTGGTGGTTCACCTAATGTTAAGTGATAATCGCCGCGCATGGGCATTTGCGAAGTGGGCTCCGGCCACCTCACTCATCAGACGAAACGCAGAAGTTGTAACATGCATTACTGGATGAGTTTACCGATTCCTATAACATAAACTGCTGCCTGACTCCATCATATTATATTGCATTGCAATTGCATCATGCAACACATGTATGGTGGATTAAAGACTGAATATGTATGTGCACACTTATTTTTTTAATTACGCGAAAATCCGCACCGCTTTCGGATACTAATTTATTTCTTCTTAGAGACAGTTAACGGGCCTGAAAGAGACAAGACATCCGCGCAAAGAGATGTAATTTAGCTTTTAAACAGGATGCAAGACTTTACTTTTCAAGTTAAGTTATTCACAAGTCTTCGAGATTGAACTTCGAGTCGAATAAACGCACGGTTACCTATGGGACACATCTAGATCTTGAAGTGGTTATAGTACTTTAAAACGAGTCGTCCGGCAACAACTGACAAGGTTAACTATAGTGGTGTAGATTTATATAGCATATGCTTAGCTGTGAGCTGATAAGGTTGACTATAATGGTGTATATCATATGCCCAGCAATGAACTGAAACAGCTCGATTGAAATTCGAACCCTATACGGCTATCGGGCGACCTTAGTAGGGCGCGGTGCGTTGCAATTCGCAAGTTATCAGCCGGCCATTGCACTCGCAACGACGCCCTGCGACAAAGGGGCCGAGCCGAGATGCGATCTCGATTGCGAATCAACGGAGGGCTCAGTTGAGCGACGCAGACACAAGACACCGTGGGCAGTTATTACGTGCTCAGCGCTTACATATGCTACTGCTGATTCTATGCAAGATATGTTATAGTGGGCATGATTGCACAGACTATGGGCGGTCGCTTTTAGTTCAATACGTTCACGCATTCGATTCATTATTTTGGGGATATTCGAGGTCGAATCATAATTGCACAAAGGAAATTGTTGTAGGGAAATGTACACAAGAAACCTCCGTATCCTAGAAATTATAAAAAATTAACATTTGACGTGCCTCTTATCCCAGTTTGTACACCAGTAGTTCCACAACAGAAAAAAGTTTAGCGGCAACGGAAAGTTTTCTCTGTGGACCGTTCGCTGTACCGTCACAGTTCTCCGGACCTCAACGGATATTGCCGAGTATCATCTCTCACAAACGGCAGCGGGAAACAAAAGAAGAGAAATCGAAACGAATACGGGGAGTTGCGGATAATCGTGACGTGCATGTTTCCATTGTACGACGAAACCGGGGGATAAAGGGCGCGAATTTGGGTCACGAGTGCCGTTCAAAATGGCTCACTGGGTCAATGGGTCAGTGGGGGAAAGCTTGAAAAGCGGGGCGTTTACTGCTGTGGCCCCTGGGTGACCGATGTGCACGCAAGGTCAGTCTTAGGAGGTAGGTAGGCATACCCAAATATACCGAGGCCAGTTAAAATGTATTTTCTTTACTACTGCTTCTATACTCTAACTTCACCTATTGCAAAGGAGGCCTTTGCCCAGCAGACACACTTATTTCAACCTAAACAATGAATATTGCTAACAAATATTTCAAATGAAAAAAAAAAAACGTGTTATTGTCCGGGGCGAAGCTACTAATAAGTTGCTTACTAGTCGATACATTCTTAACACGGTGAATGACTGCCACCTCTGAGGCTATCTGACTACGCCGACACCAAAGACAATTTGCGGCCGAGCAAAAAATTATGTGCCCGATTTAAAAACGGAGCATTTCCCCGGCTCAATACAGTACATTCCGGACCGGTTTCCAACCTGCGCGGGCTCGTTGCAAAAACCGCAGAGAACTGGCCACTGGACGAAAGGCAACCTGTCTCCATATAACGGACCCGCGACGGACCTCAACAGTTACAATGTTTAATTAGCTGCTTTCATAATACCCTCCGCTTGCCCACGAGAGGAAATGTCGCGAGGAATACAAGTCCTAAAATATCACCAAATTATCGAACAACATCTTCAGCTTTAGAAACACGATTTATCACCTTCTTGGCCAAATAAGACATGCGAATCGTTGTCACCCTACCGACCCGGTGAGGAATAAAGGCGTGAGGGTGTAGGCCTTGACGATACATTAGTCAATAGCACTTGATTTGCGGGGGATTATTACAACGCCAAATCAAAACTTTACCAGTCTCCGTATAACGTCTGATTTCAATATGCCATCTATATATAGATTTGGTAACTGGGGCTAATATCAAATAGCTATCGCTAGTAACCAAATCTGTAGATAGATTGGATATTAAAACCGGCCATAAGTCATCGAACGCATTCTCAGAGACATGATAAGCGTTTAAAAAAAACATTACATACTTATTGACGCCCTGAGAGATATAAATTAGCGTGTAACTATAATTAAATACTGTTTACTTGTAAACGTGCATTTTCATATTAAAGTATATTTGAGCCGTGATAGCTCAGTGTACGGGCGCTGGCTTTTAATTCAATATACTCGATCAACCTGAGTTCAAATACCAGTGCCGGAAACAATGTTGAAATTGTTAATTTCAAGTGCTGATTCATCACATGCTCAGCGATGAAGGAAAACGTGAGGAAACATATTTTCGACATAATAACAAAAGAAAATATTTCAAAGACAAGAAGAATATATGAAGTACATCAGAATAATACGGGCTATAACTTATAAATATATTGTGTGAACTCTCCAGAATATAACGATAAGTGTTAAGTATGTAGGAAAAATTTCAGACATCTGCGAGTTTTTCTGGTGTATAATAAAAAAAACTAATTGTTAACAGCTAGTTGGAATATAATAAATATAACGGCGCATTGGCGTTTAAAGAGAATGTTTCTGAATTCCAGCTATAACGTTAGTATAAAGACGTCAGACTACTGGATCAAGGTTTTGATAATTATTAAAAATCTATTCAGAAATAATCAAAGTTCATGTTCGAGAAACAGTTTAATCCCGGGTCAATTTCCTCACGATCCCAGGCGTTTAATTTAAAAAGTTTACTTCTGAATTATCTATTTGTACTTCGCCATCTTCTAGAACTAAGGAAGTAGATCCAGCTAGAGAGCGCGTAACGCCGATTATCGTTATGAACATCACGGCTACGCAGCCCCGTTCGCTCCGAACTCGTAAATAAAATATTATAAAACTCACACAATAGGATTGTCGAGCTGGAAACGTAATATGGTTTCTTCAAAGTCCCCACAGACGTATATTAATATTAATATCACATAAATATCTATTTCTTGTAAAAAGCAATATTAAATATCATATTATGTACTAGCTGCTACCCGCGACTACGTCTGCGAAGAATAGGCTGATGGCGTAACATTTAGACAGAAAGACAGAAGATATACATAAAATATGTACATAAATTATAGCCTTTGTCTTACTTTGATGTATAAGCTATATTATTGCAAAGATTCATAAATAAATACTGGGAATTATATTGCAAAATTGTGTTTGACTTTAAGAATAGCACAAGAGATTTATAGGAATAGATATAGTCGGATATGTCGTTCTGAGGGTTCTATCAGAATGTCCTGTTACGGCTCATCTTCACTTTGAAGAAAAAAGGTAAAGGGTTGAACACAGACACCAGTTTCCTACGAAACTGAGGTGTTTCCCAGGTGTTTCACCAAAAGCAGTGACGTACCAGAGCGGACCCTTAGCCAACCCCAATTGACGTAGAAGGAACAGAAGAAGCGAAAAAGAAACAGCCTGGAAGTTCAGAACACAGACTATCCCATTATCAGCTGACGCTACATAAAGTTAATCTTAATTATTTATTTAAATATTAAATTCATTCGGCTCGCGTGTAAACAATTGGAAAGTAAAACCAGTTTTTTATTCGGCAATCTAGCATTTAGAGCGCTGAATGAATGATAACAAGAATTTCGCATGATCGTGCAAAATGGTCGATGAGAGGGCGCAATTTTTATTAAAGACGACACAATAAAACACTGGAAAGGTTAATGATGCGAGTTTTTTCTTTTCTGTGTAAAGGAGCATAATTAAATAAATATTTCAGGTCACATTTTTTCCTTTTCTAGTCCCCAACTAAGTATCGGTGGAAGGATCACGCAACAGTTTACGCTGTTGCACGAATGGGCAGATCCGTTCGGGTAAATACCACGACCTCATAGAAGACCGGCGTAAAGTGGAAGAACTTCTGCGTTTCGTCTGGTAAGTAAGGTAACCGGGGCCCACTTTACTATAAGGAAGCAACGCATCTGCAACCCTATGCATACGTCCATAGGCCAATCGGGTCGTCAAATAATTCTATCATTACTTAAGATTACATTTTTACATCTTACAACTTATTTCGACTCATTATTATTATAAACGCAAAATTATAATTCACGCCGTTCTCGCAGCTGCTGGAATGTTTTTTTGGTCAAATTTTAAATGGAGACAGTTTATACGCCACATTTGTTTCTTTCTGAAATATGCGGGTACAAATTGCACGTAATAATCCTTAGTCGGTTCCCTCAGCGCTGAGGACCCGCTCATAAACCCCTCTCACACTTGGCCCGGATGATCGAGCCAAGCTATGTAGTATAGCCATAATGTTAATTATCTAAAAACAATCATGTGATTTCACCTTCGCTAAGTTCACCGCAAACAAACATCCCACCAGCATATTAGCTAGTATAAGACACCGCACGTTGCTAGCCGCTCGTGGGTGACATTGCGTGCGTTTGCCAAATGATGTCACTGCTTTTTGCGCGCCAGACAAGTTGGCGTCCGCGTCGACCTTCGGGTGTCGAGTCGAGATGGACGCACGGGATGACATTAGCTGACGTAAGTCATGACAGGCGTCCCCATGGGTCGTATCCTCGGACCACTCAAGTCGAGGTTCCGCCGTTATCCTTCCACGAGATAGGGTGACGGACATATAAGTGGAATGCCTCATGTAAGGATCTATGATATCCTAATTCCCCCGAATGAGCCAGCCTGCTGTTACAACAGCAAAACTGCTGCGTTAAAACCACATTTAAATCAGTATCAAAGCAATCGAGCTCGGTATCCAAGCCTTATTAGCCCCCGTACACGTAAACAAAACATCAGAAATCAAGTTAAAACATCCCTATGTTATTCGGTCATCGGCCTAGTCACAGAGTTGCCGCCCCTTATCTTTGGTCGCGGGTTAGAATCTCAGCGGCGTGCACGTGTCATGAGCGTGGTTACAATTTTCAAAGTGCTAGTACAAAAAATATTCCTTTTCTCATCGGGCAGACCCCATGAGTCGCATCAGACTCAAAGATAGGGGATTTAAAGAAATTTTGAGTTGAGAAATCGAAACTGCAACCACCAGCTTTACTCCGTTGCGGTTAGAGCGAGGTATTACACCACAAAAGCAACCTTGTCAGTGAATATATGTAGTTATACGACTACCAGTACGGCAGTTAATATGTTATAGAATTCCTCGCACTTTATTAAGTATCACGAAGAACTTTGCTTCTAGAATAATACGATCGTCGTATATTAAAACGCTCTCGCGGCGAGGGCATTGAACCCGTGGCCATGCATCATCACCGATCCTAATCTGGCGACCGAAAAAAATCTAACTCTAGAATCGCGTAACACTATACGGCCGAGGGTCTTCGCATAATTCTAAACTACAACATGACAAAAAAGCAAGATTCGAAAGCGAGGTAGGCTGATTGGTTGAACGTATAGTTAGATAACCCTTGTAAAGGGAACCCTAGTAAGTGGAAGTGTCACACTTCTGCGTTTCGCCTGGTGAGTGAGGTAACCGGCCCACTAAACTAAAAGCGGCAAAGCACTACGGCTGTTGCAGATGTCCATAGGCGGCGGTTATAACTTAACATCAAGTGAACCGC